ATTCGTTCTTGCTGTAAATATTGATGCTGGTTGTTTTCTTTGGACTGCATACATGATAATTTTTATAGCCACTTCTAAATTCTTTATTTAGCCATTCTCTCAACTTCTTTATTTTTAGCATGCCAATTGGAAGTTTTCTTGGTATCAGGTGAGAAGTAGTTGGCTGAACTGCTTGTGTGGAGAATGGAACGGGAGGGCAAAAGAAAAAAAAATGTTGACGTTGACTCCTACTGTTTTGTTTCATTTGTTATGGCAGTTAAAGCATATTCTACTTCTCAGGTTATATTCTCTGTCATTTTTTGCTTTATCTTAGTTACTTTTTTGTTTTCCCCTCATCTTTGTTTATAATTTTTTCTGATCTTTTTAATTGGAAAATCTATATAAATAAAAATGTAATGTTCATTTGTGGGATTAACAAAACTCAGAAACCACTGGACTAACTGACACCAAATTTGGATAAAAGTCACCTAACAACCCAATGTATGTCCTTCACTCAAAATTTGTTGGTTTTGTCATTTGGGAGTTTGATTTATAGTTTGATTTATAGTTCACCTACAATCAAAGAGTATTCTGAACTCCACCAATGATGGAACTGAACCAAACGTGGCACACAGCACTCCCATAAACAACAGAAAACACTAAAAGGCTTTGGTGGCCATTGACCTTGAGTTTGGGAGTTGTAGTTCACCTACATCCAGAGAGCACTGTGGACTCCAACAATGATGGATGTGGACCAAACTTGGCACGAACATTCCATATGCCCAAATATGAATACAGAAGGAGTTTGGGGGAAACAGACCTTGACACTTGGGAGTTGTYGTTACTGGGATTTATAGTTCACCTACAATCAAAGAGCATTCTGAACCCCACCAACAACAGAATTGGGGCAAACCTCCCACACAGAACCCCCACCAACAGTTTAGGGGAGGYCATTCTGGCCACCACAGTTTAAAGCTAGATAATATTTAATAAAAAAAAGAGATGTTTAAGTCATGATGCAAAAACAATTTTAAGATTAGCATTATATCATTTTCTGATACTAATCTGGTACTTTGCTCAAGAACCAAAATACAGGAAAGAATTCAAACAGCGGTTTATCATAGTATGCCCAATTAATCTTAAATGCAAATATTTTTCTTAGTTACATAAGGGGCAACATATTAGAATGCCTAGAGGGTTTTTTTGTTTGTTTGTTTATGCCTAATTCTTGTCAGAAATGAGGAAAGAAGACAATGATAAATTACTTCTGAATGATTTTTATCGTGAAAATCCTATGAAGAAACAATCTAAAATGAAGCAAGAGGCAGAAATGGAAGATGTGATCAATTGGTTGGAAGAACCTCAGCCTGTGACTGGGGAAAAGCAAAAGATAAATGTGATTCTTTGGTTTCTAATGAGGCATTTGAACTTAAACTGAAAGGACACTCAGCTGCTCACTGCTCTGATATGAAATGAGTGAACAGAACTACACAATGCATATAATAGGAATGAATATTGAGTATGAGCAACATGAATGAGTCAGAAAGTCAGAGAGTATAAAACAAGAACTGGACATACAAACATTTTTAGTACACATAATTACATATGGCTCTAGATATGTCAGTCTAAGAAGAAATAAGGGAATGTACCAAAAGCAGTCAGGGGACATAGTGCGAAGTCTAACTTAATAATAGCAGTAGGACTTCTCAACATAACGATAATTTGGGTTTTTGCTTTAGTTACAGTGCCTGAAAAGGAAGAGAAGTTCCATGCTGAAATTTGAGAGGAAACTGATAACAAAACAAAACAGGTCATATTAATCAGACAATTAAAATGCAGAAGTATGAAACAGACTAGAATTGAATGTTTTTGAAAAGTTTGGCCCAGGAGTAAGAAATGAAGCAGGACTTAATAAATTCTGTGAGGCCAACAGTTTGTTTATTGCAGAAACATTCTTCAGGCAACTGTACTGTACATATAGATGTCAGTGGATGGTCAATACAGATATCAAATAGACTACATAATTGGAAGCCGAAGATGGAATATCATCACTACAGAAGAACTCAATTCTCCGCGCATAAACAAGATCAGGAGCAGGTTATGACACAGACCTTGAACTGCTAATATAAAAAATAGAGTAAAGCTGAAGAACACTAAATCAGTTATAGTGCCCAAATACAATCTAAATAACATCCTGTAGAATTCAAAGAACATGCAAAGATCAAATTTGTATAGTAAAGGTAACTGACTATGAGACTGTGAATTGACGCTAGGGACATTATCATAAAAGTATGCAAAAAGGCTACTGGTAACCAAAAAAGAAAGAAAGGCCTCCTGAGATGACAAGTGAAACTCTTCAATAAGTTGAGGACAGGTGAGAGGCCAAAGTAAAATGTGACAGAAATAAGGTCAGTATCCTGAACACAACTTTAAGCAACTTTTTGGATCTGAACAAACACAACTATCATAATCGTTACTGCAAAGAAAAAAAGACCACAAAAAGGTAGAAGAATAGAGCTCTTCCTCAATATCTAAGAAAACCAAAAGTACCAACTATATGATAAAAGAGGAGCATGTTATATGATCAGGACAAAAATAAATGAAAACAATACCCAACACTATATAAAAGAGATGAAAGTACAACAGATTCCTTCAAGGAAGATGCTTTGATGATGAACCCAAAATCTGAGAACATGAAGTGGAAGCAGCTCTCAAATCACTTGGAGAAATAAAGCATCAAGACCAGACAACATACCAGTAGAGCCATTTCAAATTGTAGATAGAATCCATTACAATTTTAACAAAAACCTCCCAAATCTGAAAAACAATGATTCAGGCTAAAAATACTCAAAACACATTACAGTCCTCAAGAAAAGAGACATCAGAGGACTGTATACACCAGAGACAGGCCACTGTCAGGACAGAATATTAAGAATATAAATAAAATCATCTCCAGTGGGCAAGGAGGTCAAACAAAGACTACATTTTATAACCCTATGTTTCACATTTGTGCAGAATGTATCCTGTAGAAAGCAAGATTAAGAGGGAGAGAAGGAGGTGTAAAAACATGTACAAAAATCAGCCAATTAAGATATGCAGATGATGCTGTGTTACTAGCAAAATATAACAATTACTAATGACATATAGCAAAAAAGAAAAGAAAATAATTAGTCAAATATTAAGAAAACAAAAATAATAAGCAAAGATATACATACCTAAAAGTGGGTGGAGATATTGAAATAAGGATGTCCTATATTTCTGCTCAATAATACATCACATTGGAAACTTTTGTCAAGACATCAAAACAAGATTAGGACTTGGAAGGGCAGATATAAAGGAATTATATAAGATGCTTTTCTGTATTTCTGATTTTTATATTCAGTCATGAAAGCTGACAAGAAAAAAAAATCAACCAATTTAAAAAGTAGTGGTAGAGGAGAGTTCTATAGCTATCACAGACAGCTATGTAAATAAATCAGTTAGACAGCAAATTATGTCTTTGGCTGAACTCACATCAGAAGCCAAAATGACAAAGCTGAGGCTATCGTATTTTGAGCATATTATGAGATAGTAAGACAGCTGGAAACAAGGGCGGGGAATATTGCAGATGGGCTAATTTGGAGCCATGATCTTGAGTTTGCAAGACTTGAAGACAACTGTTGATTATAAATTGAAAATCTCAAAAGGATCTCATTTATCAGATTGCAACAAGTCAAGTGCTCAAAGAAGCTATGTTAGTCTCTTGCAGCATTAAAGCTCAAGATGATTTGATGTCAAATAACAAAACTCCAGATCTATGGACGACCTTATGTCAGAGTAGCATATGAGCTAAAAATGTCAACTAATATTCATATTAGTTCAATGTATATTTGTTTTAAATAAAGAAAACTTAGTTATGCCATCCACTCCACACCAATTGAATCAATGAAATCATGAATCAGTCTTTGAAAAAATATGAGTACATAAAGCAGAACCAAGTGTCTTTAAGGTGTTTTGTTGTCTCACTGCTGGACTCCATTGTATTTTAATATCAGTTTTTCAAATGTGTCATCATTATGTACAATGAACATTTATGTATTAGCAGCTAAAATATATGTACTTGAACAGTTGAACTACTTTTCAGTTTTGTGCTTGTAGCTCATTTCCCTACCCCAAGCACCAACATGTAGAAAAGGAAAGATGAAAGCAAAGAAGAGTTTAAAACAAATAAAAATTCAAATGTTCCCCAGCTTGGGTCTAAATTTAGTCATACTTAGAATATGTCCACTGAAATAAAATGGGGTGAAATGAAGTAATGGATTTCAAGGACTCTTCTTAAAGTATTATCGAGTTTGGAGCCAACATTTTATCATTCAGACAGACACTGCTTGACTAGCATTCACATAGGGAAATGTAAGACTAGACAACCATAACTGCATGGTTCACGCAACTAACTGCTTGTCCAAGTGAACAGCAAAACATACAGAAGGATACGTGTCTTCCACATGATCAAAGCTGTTATTCATTGTTAAACTACAGGATTGCTTTTGCTCAAAGTATGAATTTCCTTCCTGTATAACAGTTTTCATGAGTTCTGTTTGGATGCTGCTCATGCAAACAGAACAGTCAGTGAGCAACATACAGAGTGTTAAACCACTGAGTGTATCAGCCCTCCTCCCCCAGTATGATTTATGGATTATAAAGGCCATGCTGGCTTGGAATGATGGGAATTCTAGTTCAATACATTTGGTGAGTGCTAGGTAGCAAAAGAGTATCTAAATCAATCTAGTGACAAGGGCTAACTTAGAATAAAATACAGAAATATTCCTCACTTCTGTTAGCCTGCATATAGTCTGACCTGTTATGTATAAATCTGAATGCTTAACTCAATAAAGATTATAGAATATATTAATCCTACTGCAAGACGGGTGTAAATCTGACAGTGTAAAGATGTGGTTGGACTAAATGTTCGTGTAGTGAAAGAACAACACCCCAAGGAATTCTGATGTCCCAATGAGTCCAAAATTCAGTCTACTCAAGAGCACTGTACACATATAGGAATTTTAATATGCGAATAAAACTTCTATACATGCTCGGGGTCCCCATTTGATTCAAAAACATGGAAAATGCAAAAAAAGAACTATTTTTACAACAGGTAATAGAAAAACCTTGGGCTTGTGTTCTAGAAAATAGTTAGAATCTATGAGAACTTTGTTAATCAAGCAGAACGGATGAGTTTTCCCTCTGTTGATTCATGTTAATCAATCAAGACCGTGTTCCAATACGGATTTTAAGAATAATTAAAGCTACTCAAATCCAAGAATTTAAACAGTCAGGAATCCTTGGTCCCTTCTACAATGTGAAATAAAATCCAGATTATCTGCTTTGAATGGGATTATATGGCAGTGTAGACTCAGCTAATCCAGTTTAAAGCAGATAATGTGGATTATCTGATTTGATAATCTGGATTATATGACAGTGTAGAAGGGACCTAGGGCACCTTGGTGTAATATGGGACTGACATGAAGCACTAGTGTGTTGATGAACAAACCATGGGGGTTTGCTGTATAATGTCATCTGGCAACAAAGAACACATTGTGGATGCTGTCCTGAGTTTCTTCGAAGGGAACAAACCAGGGAAGGGAAATGAAAACCAACTGCAAAGCTGAGCTCCATGGTTTGTTTAGCACACTACACACTCATTTCAAGCCAGAATGCCCTGGCTCATCTTGTGGGAGTGCAACCAGTGCATCCAGATCTGTGCTGAACCCAAATCTGTGCTGGAATGTACTCTTGCTTGATTAAATGAAAAATCATGACCCAAACCTTTCATTACAAAGGTGGTCCCCAAACTTGAATGTTTTAAACATATTATAATGACAATCCACCAGTTATAAGGGGAATATATTCTAATTTTCATATCCAAAACAAGCAGAAAATGGACCTCAGTAAGTTATTTTTGAAATTTTGAGTAAGTCTATCTATTTTAAAGGCCTCCTAGGCCCTTATTTTCAGCCAAAGCAAATGAATATGGGTCAGCCAAAATCTCTTTAATTTCAATGGGAGAAGGCTAAGTATATCTCATTGAAAGCAATGGTACTTAAAATTCCGTTTGCATTCTGGCATCCAACAGTAAGATAAATGTGTAAGTCAAATATCAGTGAATTGCATGTTGTGATATGCAAAAAGAGTCTACCTAAAACATTCTAGGACTATTGCAAAGAAGGTTTACCTTCCCAGAGAAGTTCAATTATAAACGTTGAAATAACTGGTAAACAAGCAATAAAGATATCTGTATAATGACAGTAACATGAAACTTGTATTTAAATGGTCTTGCAGTGGGGTGAACTTTTCATTAATACACTTAAGCAGGTTGCATTAGTTGGCTATTCACATTATTGCTCTGCTACATGAAGAACAGGCCCTTAATGTTACAGTCCATTAAAATCCCAAAACAAGTTTCAGAAATAACTGTATTAAGTACGCATTAAACATAATACATGAAGATATGCACGGCCAAGAAACTAAGAATTGGCCTGACCAAAGCATACTATCACATATCCCTATTTTTAAAAAATGTTTTCTTCTGCAAACAGTACAAACAAGAAACTGAAAGTCAACCACGTAAACATGGAATAAACAAACAAAAGAACAGAATCTGGGGTACATTAAATATTTATCCAAAACATTCAGTAAGCTATTAAGTCAATTAACCCATTGTTGATTTACACATCTGACACACAGATGTAAAAATCAAGACATTATTAATACGTACATCCATAGCTTCTGGTACAATGTCATCCATGTTTTACATACAAAAATCCCGTCCCCAATGGAAAACTTAAAAATAAGAAACAAAAAAAGTTAGCTGCTCTTCGGCCTCACAAAATGAGTGAGCCATACAACATTAAGCCACAACTAACTTGGCCCAGTGATTTTAATGGAACATAAGAACAACTAACTTTGTTTGTACTGGACCAAAATACTGTAACACTTAAAAACTCAAAACTGCTTAAGTATCTGTTTTAACAAATATATTTCTGACAATCTTGCATCCTTGTGTACTATTAGATCTGGTAAACAATAAAGACAGTAAAGCTGTTACATGGCATTAGCCACAATACGTATGCACAATTCCAGGGCATGCACACATCCTCACATACCCTTCCATACATGGGGTTGGTGCAAACATATAATTAGTCTCTTTTTTTTACAAGAAAGAAGGATGATTAAGAGATTGGAAACTGATTGCAAGACTGTATGTTCCATTCCCCCATGCCCAAAATCTCTTAATTATTATTGTTATATGTGAACCAGCCCTCTATAAAATACTATTAGTTTATGATCCTGAGCAGTATTAACCATTGGACACATGCAAATCTACCAGATTCTTCTAGTGGAATAACTGCAGTTTGAGTTCAGGTTTCTTGAGGAGGAACATCTTCAGAGCAGATGGAATTTCTTCATGGAAAAAAATTGAAACTGAAGAGACGTTTGGCTTTCAAGGAAGTTATATCAAGAAACGCTGATAGTGACTCCACAGATGGCTGAATTATTTGTCTCAAAAGGAAGGGGAAGAAAAAAACCTGATATATACAAATGTGTCACTGCCAAAATATGCAAATATTTGGAGAATACATGAGTGCATAGGTTAAAGTGATTGCCAATTTTCACAATTTTACAGATGTGAAAGTCAGGGTTAAAATATCTCACTTATAGCTGCTTTTGTTTAGAGCTCTGTGTGTGCGCGCATATACACGTTTGTGTGTATGTATAAAAGAATGGCATAGCCGAAAAATCAGGAATTATTTATAACAGAAAGAGGGGCGGGTAATAACTTAAATCACACCGACATTTGCATGAAATGGCTTCTGCAAATTTTTACAAAATACACTTTGAACATGCTGCTACAAAAAGAGAAAAGAATTACTGAATGAAGAACACCACAAGATTCTGTAGAACCAATGCTATATCACCACCAGGAGAGCACCAAGCAAGGCACCATTGGAAAAGACAACATACTTGGGAAGTCTCTTAAGTAAAGCCAATGCTAATCTGGTCGGAAAATTGGTGTCTTTGGTAAAAATTCTATAAGAATGACCTGTGGGGGAAAAGGAAAAAAATGGAAGTCAGTGTATTATTAAGGGATAAGTGATTTTTAATACATATTACATTAGGAGATAAACAACATCCTACATTTTTAGTAGTTGGAGGGAGGTTGGAGTCCAGTCATAGTAAAACTGTGGCTGGACTCCAACCTCCCTATAGTAGGAATGTCTATGGGCATATGTACACACATATACACACATTAATATTTTGAATTGCTTTTAAAATATTGTGTGGAACTTGTTTTCTTGCTTTCTTTTGCTGTAAATCCATTTTTCCAAGCCTTGTACCTAAGTGATTTGATGCATCTTGATAGTTTAGATCTATAAGTAATATTCTACTTCTAGCCAACAATGTGCTGACACCAATAACTCATACTTCATTTTTTGAAATTGGGTATCTTTTGAAAACAAACTCAACATATGTATGCGTGCACACGCAAAACTCATGCTTACAAGAAATAGAGCTTATAAACTGAAAACCTGCTTGGAGAAAAGCATAGAAGTCAAAAAGGAGAAAGTATTTCTATTAAAAAGGTAAGCATACTGAGTTTCTATCTCGGGTTATTCCATCTCCTAATCCAGTGGTTCTTAAACTATGGGTCCCCAGGTGTTTTGGCCTATAATTCCCAGAAATCCCAGACAGTTTACCAGTTGTTAGGATTCCTGGGAGCAAAAACATCTGGGAGCCCACAGGTTGAGAACCACTGTCCTAATCCATGTGGAACCTACAATATACATTATGCAATATTTATTTATTTATTTACGACATTTATATGCCACCCTTCTCACCCCAAGCGGCTTACAAGATATATATATATACATACAATATATTAAATCATTAGCATAGTAAAATATCAGTATTATATATTACTGTATTGTACTACACCATTTCATTGTAATATTATTAGTAATATTACATGTAATATAAAATATATAATTATAATATTGTTTTATTATTAGTATTATATTGTATTACATTATAGTATTATAAATAGTATATGTATATACAATATATTATATTAATTAATATAATAATTATATTAATATATTATACAATATATTATATAGACCATGATATTTGACTAAAAGGGTCAACTATACTCTGTGATACTGCAAAAGGTCAAACTCAGCTGTTTCTGAGCCACACATATTTTAACTTTTCTATTTTAGAATAATTTGGACTACTAGAACATCATGCAATATATTGTGCATGTCCAAGAACAGAATGACAATCCAATCAAAACTGTACCTACTAAAAAGTACGTCCACTAAACTTGATGGATTGGAGCCAAATAATAATGCCCTTTAATGTAAACTCTATTCTGACCAAAAATCTTCTTATGTTCAGAGAATGGAACATATAGATATAACTGAGAATGGAACATATAGATATCAAATACGTGTGCAGTAAAAGGTGCATCTACACTGCAGAATTAATGCAGTTTGACGCCATGGCTCAATGGTATGCATTCATGAGAGTTTTAATTTTTTAAGATCTTTAGTTGTTCTCACCAAATGACAACTCCCCGGAATCCATACCACTGAGACACGGCTATCAAAGTGGTATTAAACTGCATTATTTGCACAGGGCAGATGCACCCATACTTATAACACATATTAAAAGTTGTAAATACTCAATTTCATCTAAATTTTTGTTTTATGTACATTTTAAATGTATTGTTCTTTTTAAATGCAAAGCCACTGAGTCCTAATTCATCATCAATATATTAATGTTACTGCTGTCCAATGATCCATCACATCCTCCTAACTCATACAATAGTAATCATTTCCATAACTGGGTCTTCAATTTATACAGAAATTCTAAACCTTACACCATTGCAGTTAGCTTGAAAACATTTTCACTATAAGAATGCTTTGTTGGAAAATGTTGGTTTAAATTAGGACATATGTATTAAATTAGACTGTATTTAGAATCTGCTCAAAATGGCATTTGAGCGAGAAATCGTTTTAGAAATGTTTGAAATAGTTAAAATACAGAACAGAGCTCTTTAAATAGCCCTGTCTCAAAAACTTGTGCAAAATTTCCTTTCCTGCCTCCAATTATTGTGTCTTGGAGCATAAATTAACATATTCACTATAATAGATGATCATAAATTTACATGTTAAGTACAATAGATATCAAAAAGAGAGTCTGTATAAATCGAACCATGCAGGGAATCACTTAGTAATCCTTTATGTTTTAAGCTTGATATTCGTCTTAGTAGTTCACCTTTATTTTAGGGCAAACAGAAAATCTTTTTAAGATAATTTGTAACTAAGCAAAGTTTTAAATCAGACTTCTAACACATAAGCCGCAATGCATGCATTGTGTTAAATGAAAGACAAGATGTATAACACTATGTAACAAAATTTGAACAAATTTCTGTTTCTGGTTTGAATGTGTTATTCCTGTTTAATTTTGAAAGTACTTATTATACTCCAGAAACTTCATTTTTGTGGCTGCCACAAACTATGTTGAGACTCTATGACTCATTCATTGAAAAACTAGAGCAAAATGAGCTGCAGGATGTCCCACAAAAACAAAGTCTTTGCATTTTGATAAACTTTTCCCATGCTTTTCTGATCGAACCAAGTAGCAAATAACATTTATAACCCAGGAATAAACATTGTGTTACATAGTGTAATTAAAAGATATAAATGTAATAAAACAGCTAGAGCTATATCTATCCGATAAGTATTTTTCAAAGACACAAGTCTTGCTTGTGTCTCTCATAATACAACAACATTACAATATTATATTTATTTAATAGCATACAAATATTTCAGCAGTATTAAATTCCCAACGAACCTCCCAAAATTTAAAAGCAGGACTAAAGGACTAAAGCTACTTGGAAAAAGGGATAAGAAAAAGACAAGTAAGCACAACATAGGCATCTATAAAAGAAATCTGCAAATCTTATCCTCTATATAACCTTTAGAATCAGGAAATAAGAGTACTATCACCCCAATTTCCCTCCTTTCTTACTTTTTAAGTGAACTAGTAAAGCTCAAGCTACTTTCAAGACTGCAGAGGCATGGGGGCAGTTAAAATCTACAAAGTCTAAAGGTTCCCTAAGCTCCAGCAGCTTAGCTGAAAGGTCTTTTTCCATATGCTGAGACTTGATTAGCATTACATAAAACAGCCTCGATGTAACTCGCTGCGCAACCAAAGTTGCAGTTATTCTTTTTATATGGCATTTGAAAATTTCACACTCCATCAACACACGTTCAGCCCATTTTATCTTGGCAATTAATTTATTATTTTTTTCCAAGGCACAGTGAAGCCTTGTTTTCAAGTCATTCATAACTTTATAAATCAGCCCTATGCATAAAACCATACATCTGTGAACCGTAGAAAATCCTTGCCACTCAGGCGATTAAGTTCCTGACACCTTTTCTGATTAATAATCATGGAAAGAATAAGATCAGAAGCAAAATAAATGATCATTTAATAGAGAGACGCACAAAACAGCCCTTTAACTTACATATTCCATCATGTTATTCGATTCACATTTCCTTTTGCTTAGCCTCCAATGCAAGCACAGCTAGACAAGAGGGAGAAAAGAAGGAAGAAAAATGAGCTGTATTTTATCGCCAACACAGAGACTGGCCCATTTGTCCACCTTTCATATTTCACGTTCAACAAAAGCATCTGTTTCCATACTGTGCAATTCAGACCTCAGCAGTCCGAAGCTGCTCCCTGCGGCACTCACCTTGTGGTATAACCTATTGTTTTCCCATTCTAATAACTTCTCAATCGATCTTCGTGTCTGGAAGACAAATGAGAAAGAATTTACTTTTAAGCAGTTTAAGAAAAAGTTTGTTTTGCAGCTGCTTTTGTATGGAAAAAGATGGAAGGAGGAAAGAAGAAGTAAAAGACAGTGACCGAGTACAGGGTGGTCTGCTGTATTATGAATTGTTTGGATCATTTATAGCAAGAATAAAGATATTTTTAAAGGGGCACTATTGATATAAAGCAATATTACCTTATATACTCGAGTATAAGCTGAGTTTTTAGCACTTTTTAATCCACCCCCCCCCCCTCGAGCTTATACTCAAGTCAAGGTTATTTATCATTTTACTTTATTATTATTATTATTACATTTATTATATTTCTCTATTATTATTACATGTCTTATTTTACTGTTTATTGTTACATTTATTATTTTACTCTACTATTATTGTTATCATTAAATTTACATTATTTTACTCTATTACTGTTATTTTTATTGCTTTTATTATTTTACTCTCTTTATTGGAAAGATATATAAGCACATTTACATTGAAGAAGGTTAGAATAATGATTTAATCGGAGTTAGACAATCATATCTTAAATTACAGTTTTATGTAAACATTCAAAAACATTTAACCTGATGCTTCAATTGATGTAATTTTATCAGTATCTATTTTTATTTTTGAAATTTATCAGTAGCTGCTGCATTTACCACCCTTGACTTATACTCGAGTCAGTAAGTTTTCCCAGTTTTTTGTGGTAAAATTAGGTGCTTTGTCTTATATTCAGGTTGGTTTGTACTTGAGTATATATGGTAATAATATGTATAATTAAGTATAAATAAATTTATATAAATTTACCCACATATGAATAATACAATATAGATTTTCAAATACTTTTAATAGTTTTATCTATGTACACTACTAAATGAGTAAATGAAGATACACTGAAGCTACTCAGACTAAGCCAAATTCCAAAGAAACAGATTGCAGATCAAGCATGTAATAGTTTTCATATTCAATATATTTCTCAATTGTGACAGATGTAAAATGTAATGCCACTGACTCATTTCATATACTGGAGCCACAAATTTATGCTTTCTAATTCCACATTTTATGTGGATCCATGTGTTGATTAAATCTCCTTCACTCTCTGTTCTCCAGTTTTCCTGAAACTATTTAAATCTTTTTGCACTAAACTGTGATTTTGAAAATACAAGTTAAATATCCCAACTTAGTTATATTAACATGCAAGAAGCACATCCTGCTGCTCATAGTCACTTGACTGCTATATCATAGACTGCTCAGCAGTAAAACAGGATTTACTAGTCCTTATGAATAAGAGGATAAATCATGACACCAGGTGTTGAGATGAGACCAGTGTTGCAGGTGCAAAAGCATGGATCACTGAGCCTTGTGGCAAATGCAACTTTGTACATCTGCAGCTTCCTTACAAGAGAAGGGGGAGCAGTAGAAAAGGGGGGGAAACGTCTTGCATTTCAACTATAAATGCTACAAAATGTCATTCTGATGAACTAAACATGATTTTAAAAAAATATATCAACTCAAATGTACAGAATATATGTTAAAGGCAAAAAAGTATTTACTGTTAGTAATTTCTGATTTCCAGCAACTACGATCTAAACTGCCTCTACTTGAAAGACTCAACTTTGTTACACATCAAATATACACTTTCACTATTCCATTATTCTTTGCAAAAGAGGAGAGATTCCCAAGAACTTTGGGACACTCGACAATAGCAGCAATTAAGTTATAGCATGTAGTTTTAAAGTTCGGTTCCTTTTGGCGAACACTTTATTTTATTTTATTAAAGGCAGTGCCTGCCCTCTAACAATGATCGGCAGACCTCACTTGTTTCTTTGTAAAGATAGCCTTTTAGAGTCTGCTCTCCTTTTAAATGAAAATAGGGCAGCAGTTATGGTCACACTTTTGTTAATTTAGTTGCCAGTCAGCTCCAAATCAAAAGAAAATAAGGCTGCAGAGTGTAATTAACATTCAGTTCAGTCGTTTGGTCCCTTGTCTAGCCCCCTGAGCTTTGTTCAAATTGCCATCTGAATGCTGAAGGCTGTAGGGAAATCGATTTGATTCTAATCGCACCATGAAAAGAACATGATCTAACTGCTTTCAGCCCTCCGTAAATCTGTACTAGGTCTTTAGCACAATGCAACTTCCAATTTAAAAAGCACTGAATGTCTCGTCAATGACTTTGTGAAGAAAAAAGAACAAGGAGCAGACATAAAAATTCCAATAGTTGTTTAAGCATTAAAGCTCATTTGCATCACAGCAAACCTGAAAAGGGCTGACCTCTCAAACCGCCTCTCAGGTCTATGAAGTTGTAGCCTTGACAAGCTCACATTGACAGAGCTCATTGACTCTGAAAGGCTACTCTATCAATGGTGAAAAATGGCAATAGGTTCTACTCCGAGCAGGCATCTGCCTGCCCACCCGCTGCTAAACCAATGGCAAAACCGATTCATAAATGTGAAGCTACCTTGTAATCTTCCTCGCCAAAACCTTTTAAATAACAGATTAAGACTGCTGTACAATTTAAATTTCATTGCTTACACGGAGGGGAAGGAGAAAAGATGGGGAGAGAGAACAGCTTCCCAAATACTACTACAATTAAAACACTTTACTCTCTAAATAGGAAACTGAAAACAGAATATTTACTACAACACTTTGAAGGAGCCTATCACACATTATATTTACACACATTTAATGTTTAATTATAGTTACTCTTAGTGGAAGGAAGCCTTAAACATGAAAATTGACAGGATAGTGATTTTAAAGGCAACATACAATCTAGATTAATTTTTAAATTTTAAATTATTACATTTGGCCTGGCCATAGTTTTTTAAATCCTTGTGTGTTTACATGTGAGTTATATTAATTGTATTGTTTTTGCTTATTGTTTTTTGTTTTATTGATGTGTTGGCCTCATGTTAGCCTCTCCGAGTCCCCTTGGGGAGACTCGGTGGCGGGGTATAAATAAAATTATTATTATTATTTTCTACATATTATTATTATTAGTCTACATATTATTATTATTATTATTATTATTATTATTATTATTATTATTATTATTAGATTAATAAAAAAGTAAAGACAGGTTATCCTCTATACATGTACTACTTGCTTAATATTAAATTCCTATTTTAAAATCTTTTAATGTCATTTTAACACAGCCTAACTATCAAAAGGTCACAGTACATAAAACTGACATAAATTTGAGATTTTTAAGAACATCTAATGTTCATAAACTTTATGCAACCCGCACATAAAATTGCAAGATTTTTTTAAAAAAAAACATTTAACCAGCTCTGGTGAAACAAAAGATGAATGAAAGTTTAAATGAAACATTAGCAAGTACTTCTCACCCTGGGAAAGAAAAGGTGAATTAAAGAGCACTGCAAAGTTCTCTACGCGAAGCTTCCTTTCCCGTACTTGACAGGTGAAGAAAAAGAAAGACTTGCACGTGCAGCTGAATTAATCATGGCACTTGACAGCTCAGTGATTTACAGTGAGGAGCAGGTGAGGACATTCAAAACCCAAAAGGGACTCTTGATTTGAGTATAACATTAGGATGACAACCCAGTGGACGCTTTATCAGTGCATGAGGAAAACCTAGAGAACACAGTTGCTAGCAACAAAACCAAAGTTAAGTAGAGAGCTCATTAAGAAGATTTAAAAGGTAATGACAATGGCCTTTCAAACTAATGTTAAGTCCAAAATAAATTTGAATGTTAAGAACCTCTTATTAGGAAACAAAACACTATTACTTAATAAATGGCGAGGCATGACTTAAATAATTGATCTAAGAAAGGCTGGGATGTATAAGCAGCTTTCTCCTGGGAAGTAATTTCAGGGAACCAACTCTATAAAGCAAATCTGCATAGACATAACGTTATCCTCCTAATTACACTGTATTATATAAAAAGTTGAAGCAGAATAAACCATTTAGAAGTTGCAATACTTAGGATCTATAATAAACCCTTTAAAAGTCCACACTGCTGTGATTTCTTAAATTAATGTAAATATTTACGTTTACTAGTCAAGAGCCATTTGTATAATTATGAACATTCAATTCTCATCTACTACCAAATACAAAATACATTCTAAAACTCATTATGTGAGAAATCTACATAGGCACCACCAAATGCAGCATTGCCCAAACACAAATCATAGAATCATAGAATTGGAAGAGACCTCATGGGCCATCCAGTCCAACCCCGTCAGGAAGCAGGAAAATTGCATTCAAAGCACCCCTGACAGATGGCCATCCAGCCTCTGTTTAAAAGCTTCCAAAGAAGGAGCCTCCACCACACTCCAGGGCAGAGAGTTCCTCTGCTGAACGGCTCTCACAGTCAGGAAGTTCTTCCTCATGTTCAGATGGAATCTCCTCTCTTGTAGTTTGAAGCCATTGTTCCGTGTCCTAGTCTCCAGGGAAGCAGAAAACAAACCTGCTCCTTCCTCCCTGTGACTTCCTCTCACATATTTATACATGGCTATCATATCTCTTCTCAGCCTTCTCTTCTTCAGGCTAAACATGCCCAGCTCCTTGAGTCGCTTCTTATAGGGCTTGTTCTCGAGACCCTTGATCATTTTAGTTGTCCTCCTCTGGACACATTCCAGCTTGTCAATATCTCTCTTCAACTGTGGTGCTCAGAACTGGACACAGTATTCCAGGTGTGGTCTAACCAAGGCGGAATAGAGGGGTAGCGTTACTTCCCTAGATCTAGACACTATTCTCCTATTGATGCAGGCTAAAATCCCATTGGTTTTTTTTGCCGCCACACCACATTGTTGGCTCATGCTTAACTTGTTGTCCACGAGGACTCCAAGATCTTTTTCACACATACTGCTCTTGAGCCAGGCATTGTCCCCCATTCTGTATCTTTGCATCAAGGAACATGACACTGCAGACGAATTCAACCAGAGAAGTCCACAATAGCAGGGCACCTGATGAACCAACCTGGACACAGCATATTATTTGAGAACACAGAAATGCTGGACCACTCTAACATCTACCATGTTAGACTACACAGAGAAGCCCTTAAAATCCACAAGCATGTGGACAATTTCAACAGAAAGGAGGAAACCACGAAAATGTACAAATCTGGCTATTAATTTATTTTTTTTAAAAAAACCTCTAAAATCATGACAGTAAATTGAGCAACACTCAAAAAAGCCGGGGGAATTCCAGGCAGGAATCAATCAGGGCCATCTAATATCTCCCAACAAAGGATTCCCCTGGGCAGCAATCAGCCAGGCTTTGACACTACAAGGTCAATAAATGCTAATCAAGCTGGCCATTTGCAACATTCACACTTTCCTCAAGCAGACAAAGAGTTCTTTCTTCCACCCTGGACATTCCACAGTTATATAAACCTCACTTGCCTAGTTTCCAACAGACCTCCCAACCTCTGAGGACGCCTGCCACAGATGTGGGCGAAACGTCAGGAGAGAATGCTTCTGGAACATGGCCAGACAGCAGGAAACTCACAGCAACCCATGAAAGCTTCTGACAACTCATTATGTTTACTTTAACCGTGGCTCCTAAAATACACTTTTACACACCAGTATAATTTCAAACAGGACAGAAGATCACAAAAGTGGAAGTTTCCCATTCAGAAGATTTAACTTTAAAGAATATTTGTACATACAGGAGATTTCTGACATTTGCATAAACTTCATCATTTAAAGGCAATCTAGATTAAGAAAATGGGGCTAAAAGCCATTAAATACATCATACATTCTATCTTTGAAAGTTCTAGGAAATAATGCCTATAAGCATATCATTGTATATACAATATGTAATTAAAATTTACCATCTATATGCTACATAAGAATACTTCTTATAGGAAAATGCTTGATGTGAAGAACTCTCATTCTGAGAGCTTGAGCAGAAAGGAATTCCATTCTTTTAAATCAGCCAAACAGAACCTTCTCTATCCAATGGAGCATGCATCATTTGGTTAAGGAAACTCAACTATAACAAGATATAAACAATGTGATCGAGGCCTAAGACACTGCCTGCAATACAGGCTTAACAGCTCATGCCCATCACTCCCTTCTCTTTGAGCAAGACTTCTGAAGTATTTTGAGGGAATAAAAATAGAACCCAGGCAAAAATGTGGAGGAACTAGAATGCAATAGAAAGAAGAAGCCTAATGTGTGGCAACAAGTTATATATTATAACGTCTCCAAGACATGTGATAGGAAGAATCATGTCTTCACAACTTGGCTCAATAATTAACCAAGCCTCAGGTGGAAATTACATAATGATTCTTTCAATAACTAATGATGCCTTTGACACTCAAAATAGTCACACATGGTACATTTCTAAGATAAGCCCTAACTTAGATGGAGTTTTTTTTTTCATAATTTAAACAATTAATTTAGATCTTAAGTGATTCCTTGAAAGATATGAAATTATTGTTGTTGGGATTTTTCCAGAGAGTGGCAGGAAGGAAGCTTGGTTGGACAATATGAAACAAAGCAAGCATTTTAAACACAATTTAAGGGTTAAAAAGCTTCTTTGAGAAACTAGGTTGCATAGCTCCTGGTGCTTTCTAAGTAGCATTGGTGTTTTCCTGTAAATGGTCCTATAGGATCACAGTTAGTCAGGGACCGACTGTCATGATGCCTTAGAACAGGGGTCCTCAAACTAAGGCCCAAGGTCCGGATACGGCCCTCCAAGGTCATTTACCCAGCCCTCACTCAGGGTCAACCTAAGTCTAAAACAACTTGAAAGCACACAACAACAACAACAATCCTATCTCATCTGGCAAAAAGCAGGCTTCCCATTAAATACTAATAAGTTTGTATTTGTTAAAATTGTTCTTAATTTTAATTATTGTATTGATTTTAAGGTTGTTGTTTTTCTTGGGGTTTTTTTGCACTACAAATAAGATATGTGCAGTGTGCATAGGAATTCATGTTTTTTTCAAATTATAATCCGGCGCTCCAGCAGTTTGAGGGACTGTGACCTGGCCCTCTGTTTAAAACGTTTGAGGACCCCTGCCTTAGAAGAATGATTTGGACATTTGGAGTAAACAAAATAAAACAAAAATTAATTCCACAAAACTTGGAGTCAATAAGGTATTATGACTCTTGGGACTCTAACTTCCCCTAACTCTGACAATATCATTTTCAAGTACCACGAAGTTTTCAAAAAATGATTTCCATTATATGCCTCAACTTCAAATCACTTAATATTTAAAAAACAAAATAAGAACATAGTTTAAACTCCATTGTGCCATCCTAAATTTCTATAGTTATATTTGTTATTACATCGAAAAATTGTAAAAGCAAAGTTTTGACCAAACTTAACAACATGATCTGAATCTTCTGATTACTCTCAACTATTTATTTAATTTGCACTTATTCAAATGGTCTACTATAGTTGGAACTAACAATAAGATTCATATCCCTGCATTTGTAACGTGTTGGCTGAATTATCATAGAGTCAGTGTACTCATCACCATTTGAGCAATTAAATGAAAAAACATTCAGAATGAATAGTTTTTAGATCGCCCCGACAGCTTGGTTTTCTATGATCTAGTTAATTTATTTCTCTATGTATTCGTAACATGAAAACCGGTATAAATCTCTAATGAATTAATCAGTACAAGTAATTCAATTGTAATAAAATTAATTAATTAAACATTGATATTGGAAATTACTTGGTGGGAGGATGTTCAAGAAGCAGAAGAAATTACAGATTAAATTTATTGTTTATTTGGTTTACGGTCTCGAAGATAGGTTGAACCTGAAGCATATAGGGTTTTGGAGGTAATAACCTGCACCTTAAATAAACACAAGTTGAGAAACTGTGGTATTTTACATACTTGAGTTTTATGCTGGATATGTGTACTCTTCCATTCAGTAATAATGATAATAATCATCATCATCATCATCATCTTTATTTATATCCTGCCACCATCTCCCAAAATGGACTTGGGATGGCTTACAAGGCACTACAAGTGTAGCATATAACATAAACGGTACATAAGTATAAAAGCAATATCACATAAAAGTTATGACAACTACTATCAACACATAAAATAAAACACAGTTTAAAACACAAACCATCTGTACTTAAAATTAAATGCCTTCAATTCACAAATAAATTGCCAAAGTGTCAACCTAATATGGGCCCATTTCAGCCTATTCGAGGCCAAAAGCCTGCTTAAAAATCCATGTTTTTAGGCTGTATCATTAGGAGCCAAGAGTGGGGGCTAACCTAATCTCTTTTGGGAGGGTATTCCAAAGCTGGGGAGAGACACCCTTGAGACAGTGGCAAAACCAAGAGAAGGACCTCCCCTGCCGATCTCAAAGCCTGCGCTGGTCCATAGAAAGAGATGCGGTCTCGAAGATAGGTTGAACCTGAAGCATATAGGGTTTTGGAAGTAATAACCTGCACCTTAAATTGACCTTGGAAAATTGTCAGAAGCCAGTGGAGCTGCTTGAGTAGGGGCATAATAATCCGGCAGCTGACCTTTGTACTAACTGCAGTTTCCAAACCATCTTCAAAGGCAGCCCCACATAGAGTACATTACAGAATTCCATTATGAATGTAACTAAGGCATGGACCACTGTGGCTAAGTACCGTCACAGCTGGCGCACAAGTTTGAACTGTGCGAAGGTCCTCCCAGCCACCGCTGATACTTGAGCTTCAAGTGTCAACAATGAGTCTAGAAGGACACCCAGACTGCGGGCCTGTGTCCTCAGGGGGAGTGTAATATCGTTGAGCATAGGTTGCCATCCTATACCCCAATCAGCCTCACGACAGACCAGGAGGATCTGTCTTGTTTGGATTAAGTCAGTTTGTTGGCCCTCATCCAGTCCATCACAGTTTGTTGGTCCTCATCCAGTTCCAGAGAGCTGACCCAGAAGAATACCATGGTCGATGGTTCTGAAAGCTGCTGAGATGTCCAAGAGACCCAGCAGAAATACACTCCCTTGCCTAGTTCTCTGTGGTGGTCACCCATCAAGGTGACCAAAGCTGTCTCCGTTCTGTGACCAGGCCTAAAGTCAGATTGCAATGTGAAGTATTTTACAGCAATTAATATGAGCAACTGGATTTAATTGAGAAAAAGTCTTATAGTTATGTAGTTCCCCAAGAAGATTGGTAGGACTCAACACACGTCAGACTCTATGCAGTCAAAATCAATTTGAGCCATCCTTGGGATGTTCTTTTGAGGAAGGAGATTTTAAAATGCAGATCTTTTTGTTTTTGGTGCAAGATTGGAATCTATATCATCAGAAGAGTGATAATGTAAAGCCAATATTATTCAAGTCTAAGAACTAAATCTAAAGTTGTTTTGAAATTTAATTCATAAAATAGAGTAAGATACTGAGGAACATAACAGCCAACTTAATAATCAATATGAAAATAAATGTATTTAAAACTGTTTTAATGTGCTTTCTACTAGTTGCAATACAAACCCTTTATACATATACTCAATATCCATGATTTACTCATGCTCCACAAATATCTCACTGGCCCAGAAGTTTTTATGGGACAAAATATAGGCTGCAGTAATATCAATGGTTTCATCTATCCACAGAGATCTTGGAATTTATCCACCCATGGATATAGGAGTCATGCAGTATCTTGGTTTTTTTAAACTTTAGAATTGTAAGAATTTAGCTGTACAGTCAATCTTCTTCTATACCCACAGATTCTGTATCCAGAGTCAACCATCCATGGCTTGAAAATATTTTTTTTAAAAATCCAAAAGCAAATCTTGATTTTGCCATTTTATATAAATGACATCATTTTACAACTCCACTGTATCTAATGGGACTTGAGCATCCATGGCTTTTGATATCTATGAGTGGTCCTGGAATCAAACCCCAATGGGATTTGTATAGGGACCTCTATACTTTGTTTTAAATTGGCATCTTGGATCTCTGTCTGGGAGAAAGACAGGATATAAATTAAATAAATAAAATGATTTGTGCAATCTAACTTACTCTTTTACTGAGACAGATCACTGGCCACATACTACAGCCTAAAGTGCAGCAGCAACAAAGGCAGCCACAGAGAAGCCATCGGACATTAACTGGAAGGTTTTTCTTGAGACAGCTGTTCACTCTGCTGATGCTGGCTTTAAACTCCTCAGGTGCAACCTATAAAAACAAACACATATTATAATACTTGATTTCCATCAACAGTACTTTCTCTCCTCTAAAGACAGGAGCAAGCATCCTCTTGGTCAGCCCCAATTAAACTCATTCAATCAATTATTAAATGCTGAGTCAACACATAGATTCAGTAGGTTCAGTGGATCTATTCTAAAAAGGACTAACAGCAGGATTCAGTCTAATATGAAACTCAATAATCATTGCTGAAATCGTTAAAACCTTATTTGGACAGGTTTTTAAACATGAAGGTGTTAAAGATCTAGTCAGGGCTGCTGTGGTTTTTAACTTTGAATATATTTTGATAGATTTTAACTGATTTTTTAAGTGCTGTTTGTGTTTAATCCTGTTTTAATGTTTGTATATTTTAAATTGTATACTAATGCTTTTATGTCATGCTGTTTTGAGTCCCCTTTGGAGAGATAAAGGAGGGTATAAAGAAATAAAATTATAATAATAAACACCCCATCTCTAGCCCAATACTTACTTTTCCTGTTAACGATGAAGGGAATTCTGCTTCAAATTTGTTGCTTAGTCCAAATCTAGAAACAAACAATGAAAACAACTTTCATTACGTATGTTGCAACAAAGGGACACCTATCTCCTAAATAGTAGTGGCATTTACTGTAGTAAACTCGTATGTTTAAATATATTTATACTTCTCCAACAACTATGCTGTATAAATATGGCTTCATAAACATGAGTCCTTAGGTATGGAAGAAAGAAATATTTGTTCTTTTCACATTTTACTGCAGCAAGATACATAACTGATGTATGAAGTTGTAATATATCTTTAAGTGTCTGTTTGGAAAGCACAACATATCTTGTACCTTATGTCTACCACTCATTTTTACTTTTACCAACAGTCTTACTTCAAACAGGGGGAACTAAATACTCTTAATTACACTACATTGAAATCAACCTCCAGTCCAATTCAAGGATACAATCCTCTAAAGTCCGCACACCCATGTAGGGAAGCCCCCGCCCATATATCGTAATTGTATTCTGGGAGGGGTCCTGGGAGGGGTCGAATCCAGAGATTCCACTCCAGAGATTGCAATCCACCCTGATGCAGCAGTGCCTCAGACTATGGAGAGAGTACAGGGCCTCCAGGAGATCTGAGCGGCCATTATACCTCATGGCTCAGTGCCTCAGCCTGCTGCCTTTGCCTGCATGCTCCACTGAGGAAATTTGGGTCAGTTCACTTGTGTGCTTTTTATTTCTGGTACTGTATGTTTTGCTTCAAGAAGAGAGAAAGAGAGCAAGAAAGGGAGGGAGGATGAAATTACAGTATGAAGAAAATGATGCTGTTTTGCCTTGCTGTTATACTGGCCAACACACATTCCATTGCCTCAAATGTGTTTCTTTGCCACAGTGGCTGGATGGAACCAAGCACTGCCTATCTCTGAACATTATATACATTATTTTATCAGTAAATGCTGGTGTTTGAGTGAAAATAGCATGTAGTTTAAACTGCATATTTCAGTTGTACGTGAGTTAACACAGTAGAGATGTGTAATATTACTAGAGTATCTTTTACAGAATTCCGTGTTCCAACCAGAAAGGAAAGATAATGTGTTCTGTTCTTCGCCATGACTGGACCGAGAGGATGTGTTTGAAATACTGTGGTGTAAATAGTTACTATGAATAAGGTAGAAGAGCCGCTTTCATTGAAAACTGAATTTATGGCGTCAGTTTCAACTTTTTTATCCTTGTTTTTTCCAGTCAAAATGAAAAGAGATTAGAGCAAGATGATTTATCTCAATTTCCTGACATATTTGTTATTTATAAAGTACATTTTTTAATTTTAAGACACATAACACAAAAATGGGATGCTTTTCTTGGGGCCAGAATGGATTAATACCATTTCAGTACATTTCATTAGGAAAATTAGCTTTGAGATAAGAATATTTTGACTTAAGAATATGGTCACAGAACGAATTAAAATCTTAAGTCATGGTATCACTGTATATTGTGGTAGATGGTGAATATTCCTACTCATGCAACATAAGAAATGAAGTATAATACACATCATCACACTGATGGGAAACACCAAGAAATACTGAGAAAAAACAGGGAGCCTTCTGGTGTTTGCAGATTTTTTTAACTATTAAAAACTGGATGATTCTTTACATATTGCTACCAGCCTTTAACTCTCCACCCCAAACTTACCCAACCCACATGATTCCTGAAAAAAAAAAACTGAGGAGTTAATGTTAGAAGGAATTTTCAGAACATCAGGTATTTGATCCTGAATACAGCCTGGGTTTTGTCCAAGCATATCCCTTGGGTAAAATGACACAGCCTCTCCTCCTCTTGCCTGTTTCAGATTCCTTCATCATCTTTAGCACGTGAAAGAAAAAACACCCTGAGCCTATATTTAGAACTACATCAAAACAAGAAATAAACTTTTACATCAAAGGGCAAAAAAGGTTGCTGCAATCTAGGCAGTTTTAAGACATCCTTGAAACAAGCAACAACAAAGAGATGCTAGATTGTTTTTGAGTTCTGCAGTTTGTAGTTCCATTTCTCTGAACTTTTAAATACATTTGTAAGTGCCTGAATAAATTACATGATAAAAATTAATGTATGAAAGTATGGTGTACATATGAGCAAATAAAGTGACAAACCATACATATTGTGTTCCATGAATTAAAACAATTCGATCATCTCCCAATCTACCATTTCTGGAAATTTCTAAGCACCTTGTTAGTGAAGTGTTTACATATTGATTTTCTGCCCACCAGTTATGAAAAGGGAAATGTGCAAATGCTAGTTTAAAACACCAATAACAAATGAATGAATAAATGAAGGGCTGTACTAGGTGGAGGTTGAGAGCTCTGACAACATGTCTCTAAACAGAATAATAATAATAATAATAATAATAATAATAATAATAATAATAACAACAACAACAACAACAACAACAACCTTTATTTATACCCCAACACTATCTCCCCAATGGGGACTCAGGGCAGCTAACATGAGACCAAGCCCAAAAATACAATACATCACAATAAAATACAGCATGCAGAGAACAAAAAATTACATCAAAAAATAATTACAGTAGCAAAATAAAATAAAATAAAGAAATAAATTGAACAGGATGGGCCGACCAAATGGACGAGACAAATACAAAGATAGGACCAATACTTTAAATGATTTTAGGAAAGTACACCCAAGGTGGTTACTGTATCTATGGTAATGTATGCCCTGCTCTTCTTACCTCAAAGATCTATTAAATAAGTGACACCAAAGTTAGGCTTAAGAACAGAACTTCTAGAAAGTAAGCCATGAAACTTCTGCAGAAACTCTGGAAGTAATCATGTCATCCTTAACCATAAGTGACTTTGCAAGGTCAAGCGGCTGCATTAGAAGTATCTTAAGCTCTTGGGGCATGTGTTATTCTCTCATCTTGACCTCCCTCTTTCTAGTAGTCAAAAAAGTCTGACCTTTGGCTCCCAAGAACACAATTAACTGTGGAGAAGAGATTATACCATAAAAAAAGAATCATAATGAACCATGATGGTCTGATAATTAGCCACTAATAACTCCCATGCAGAGGAAAAGAACATAGGGACTTGGGTAAGTGCTCTACAAAGTGTTAAAGTATGTGCAAGTCTTCAAGAATTGGTGCTGTAATCCTACTGGACAACCCTCAACACAAAAAAGTAATTGGATCAAATTAGTAGCCCAAATGTCTTAGGGACTGAAATTTCTGGAAGAACTGAAGCGCATCAACAACATCAGCAACAAAATCTGCATACGATATCTATACAGACACAAGACCCTCAACTCTATCCTTTAACAGGTAACAAAGTCTAATACTTCAAAATTACCACATACCCCTTTTAAAGACTGAATGTTTACTTTCTTTTCCTGAAGCTCAAGGAAGGGGATCTTCTCCAAATAGCATCTAGTAATGTGAATAAAACCAACAACCGTACATATGTTTCTTTTCTAATATTATTTGTTTCAAACTGAAATTTGGGTATAATAAAACAATCCAAAAATAAATACCTCCACTAATAATCTTTTCTCATACAAAATTGATTCATGTATGTTTATTTCACTTCTTACATAAACATGGTCAGAGAGAGAAATATTTGGTATATGAGTATTACAAATGTGATAAAACCAGCCACGCACTATAAAACATTTTATATAAAATGCATGATCCTCAAGCAAACAGGATGTCAATCATTTATGCCTTATGGAAAATTACTACTCTGGTGCAATAATAGGTCGATGTTACTTCTGGAAATTTCAGGACACTCGCATTACAAGACAGCACATATCTTGTTTCCAATGTACGAATGGGCACAACAGAGGTAGCCCTTTACCTTATTTTAAAAAACACAATTTTGGTGCCCTCTGTTCCTTACTAGCTATCTGTGCTTTTGTGAGAACACAGACTGTCAAATGAGCACATCTGAAAGCTCAGGGACTATGAAGTGCTCCATCTAGAGTAGAAAATTGTGCCTAGTTGTCACATTTTACAGCTGGGCTTCTGCATGCACTTGCCTCCAGATCTCATTTATTCTTGGTTTGTTGCTAGCTGGAGGGCATCCAAAAAAGTGGCAAGGTCTTGGCAGGGAAGAGGGAGAAGTGGGTTGGCAAAGATGGAGATAGGAAGGCAGAAGAAATAGAACACAAATGTCATCTGCAGGAATGAGGCATATTAATAAGAGGACTATTATCAATGCTGGTTAAACGAGAGAGAGAAAATGAGAATTATGGATAAGGTGGGTGGGTGGGGGAAGCACTGAATTGTGATGATTTTAATATTAACCATAGTGGGAGAGAACAGTGTTCTATCCTTCTTGTAATATACTATGGCCAGTCTCTTCAATTAACACATTCTGCTTTGTGTCCTTCAATAGATACAATGGATACAGAAATCTAAACACACCCAGAAAACATATTTGGGGTGGCCATGCTGGCCAAAATCCACAAAAAAGAGTAATGCCGTTATTGGCCAACAAAAATGCACAAAATACATTGTACAAGTTTTCGAAGCTTCACAATAATTTCAGAATTGCCTCTCTATCACTAAACAAATAATGCTGCATACTTCAAAAGGAATGTGGGCTGAATGAAAAAGACTCTTGTTAACATTCCAAGGTAGTATTAAAGTTATTGCAACTAATTGGACATATTTGTCTAACCAATGCATAATTTACAGAACAGTAATCTGATTTTAATCCATCCCTCTTGGCAGTCACTATTTAACTGTGAATAAATCAAAAAAAAGATAAATGGGTTTTACATTCTCTTTTGACTGCAGAAATGCACATGAGTGTTGGCAGCCAGAAAAGTTCTATACAGTGGGCCCTTGGTTTTTGTTCCAGGATCCCCCGTGGATGCTAAATTCCCTTTATACACAACTGCTAGTAAAATGTCATCCCATCCGTAAAATAGCAAAATCAAGGTTTGCTTTTGGGAATTTAAAACACATACATTCTTTTCAGGCCATGGATCGCTGAATCCAAAGATTCAGAAAGTTGAAAATAATTGCAAAAAACAAGCAGCATTTATTAGT